AAAAAAAAAACATATAAACATACACATAAACATATCAGGTAGTTCTCACACCACCCAAAAAATTCTTAATGTATGCTGTAAAAATAAAGCTACATCTTAGCACACCCTTCATTTTTTTTTTTTATTATCGTTGAACCCAACGACTATCATCCTCTCCCTCACTTCTCTCTGAAAGAAGTAGAAGAAGAATACCAAACAAAAAGGGGAAAAAAGAAATAATTCCCCTGTGTGGTCCAAAGGTTAACTTTCCATCTCTCCCCCTTTCACTGTTTTTTTTTTTTTCATTTCGAGAGTTGATTCAAACTCAGAAACTAATCCAATTAGTCTGATATATTTTCTCGAGATTCAGCTTCAAGTGAACGTTCCCTATCTCCAGGATGATGTGAAACCGCACGTACTACAGAAGTACATTTGGCAAGAAATTCATCTCGGTTTCCTGTTATTTTACGAAATACTTCAGCTGCTGATTCATGAAACTCTCGCAAAACTTGTTCATGTTGAGCCATCTTATCATCAATATGTCTTTCCTCAAATGGTTTAGAAGAATGTGTCAGCATCTCATGTACAGAATCATCCACATCAGGTGGAGAAATTTGATAATTACTACCACTAGCTGGATTAGTCATTGCAGGATCAATACCTTCAGTGTCTCCCTCACGACTGCTGCATAACGGAGAACTACAGGAAATATTAGAAATAGATCCTACAGAATCCCATCCTATATGAGGAGTAGAAGCAGTAACCATAACAGCAGCAGCAGCAGCAGTAGTAGTAGTAGTAAAAGCAATATCGGCATTTCCCACTGTTCGTGATGGTGAGACTGTGGGACTGTGTAGATTTCTACGATTATGTGCACGTGGAAGAGGAGGGACTAGGGCTTTGGGTAGTCGCTGGTCTGTTGGTGTTGTTAAACCACTCCCATGATGAGGCATAGATACAGGAAGAGAAGATCCACTACCTATTTCCTCACGCATGGCTGCAGCAGCAGCAGTAGAAGAAGAAGAAGTAGTACGAGTGGAACTCAGAGGCATCACTGGAGTTACAGTTTCTCCTAATCCTAATCCTACTCCTAATCCTGTTGTGGTTGATGATGTTTTCGTTGGGGCGGCGGGTACGGATGATGATTGACTTTGTGATCGTGCAGATGAGGATGCGCGATTTTGTTCGCGGCGAATCTCCCGCAGTGCCGCCTCCTCTGCAGCCTTTGCCTTTTGTTTATAACGATTGAACTGTTCCTCTAATGTTGCCCGTCGTCCACGTTCATCCTCTAGTTGACTACGCAGTCGTTGAATAGGCTCCGATGCGGTGGAGGCGAGTGCCTGTAGTTTCGCATCCTTCTCTCGCAATTGTCGTCGCATACTCGCGAGAATACTTTCTGTTTGTTGTTGATAAGAAGAAGCCGCCTGTCGTACACTTGCGAGATCCTCTTGATGCCGCAATGCACTTTCTTCTAGTTTTACAAGAAGTTCTTTGCTGTGTTGACGTTCCTCCTCCAGTTGTTGTGTGAGACTCTCCATCTCCCGCTGTAAACGGGCCATACACTCCTCTGTGTGGCGAACTGACTTCTGTAGATTCTCTCGCTCTTGACAGGCTTTATCTTCTTCTTCCTCCAATTGTTTTTTAAGACTATCTACCATGTGATGTTGGGAGGCTCGTTCTTCACGCATCTCATGTTCTTTTCGCGCCAGCTGTAAACGAAGTGTTTCTACATCTTGCTGTAGTTCCTCAATACGTTTGAGATGCTGCTGTTTCTCATCCTGTACAGATGTCAATCGTGCGATCTCCTCTTGCAACTGTTGTTTCTGTTGTCGGTTCTGTTCCTTGAGGGTACGATACTTCCGCTCCACCTTTTCAAGTGCCGTAAGTTTATCAGTGGCTTCACCAATAAGATTTTGATAACTTTTGCTGGTGGAGTGAAATTCTTCTTCTAATCGATGTAACTCTTCTCGAGAGCGTTGTTCTTGTTCACGTAGTTGTGATTCTAATCGATTCACTAAACTTTGTGATTCCTTTTCACGTTCAACGGCTAACTTTTCACGACGCTTACTCTCTGCTAACTCCCCTACACGAGTTGCTACTTCCTCCTCTAACGCAGCGAGATCTTTTCGTGTTTTCAACACATTATCACGTAGTTCTTTCACCTGCCGCTCCTTTGCATCTACTTCACTCTGCAACTGTCGAAGGTGTCCACTAGCTTCTTCTAGTTGAGCATGTAAACGTTCAATCGTTTTATTACGTTCTTCAATCGTCCGATTCATCTCTTCAGCTCGCATTCGTTCATTTACTACCTCTGCCTGTAATAATTTTTGTTTAACACTAAAGGACGCTAATAATTGTGTTGATACTTCTTCTTCAGCCTTCTGTCTTGCCTCAAATATTTCACGACGGAGTTGTGCGAGTTCAGAACTGTGTTCTGTACGTAATTCTGATAATTCTCTTCGATGAGACTCATCCTGTTCCTTCAGTTGTTGTTGTAGACGTTCTACAGTTGCCTTACTTTGTTTTAACATTTCATACATACGATCCTGTTCATTATTTTTCACTATTGAGGTGAGTGGTACTTTGGAATCTTGTGTTACTTGAGCTATATGATTCTCTTGTTGATGGGTTATAGATACGTCAACCGTTGATGAAGAGAGTGGAGCTGTGTTAGATCTATTAGGTTCTACCGCTCCTGAGAGAAGCGACTTAAATGTATCTTTCCACTTTTGACTGAGTTGTAAACCACTACGATCATCCATACCAGTAGCAGAAGTATTCACTGTACTAGTGATGGAGCTGTGTGGACCTCTTGCTATTGAATGCAGTGTAGGTGGTTGACGACGATGTCCATCTAATGAAAGTGTTGTGTTTACTGTTGAAGTGATAGAGCGATCTTCTGTTGTGTTGTTTGTTGGTATCGCCTGTGTACGTCTTAACGTCCATCGATGGACGGTGCCTCTCAGATCATCCTCTGTACTGGTGTTGTAATGATTACTATGTTGTGGTCTACTTCTCACAGCTGTAGAAGCACGTCGTGGAATATTTTCCTCTTCTTCTTCTTCTCTACTCTCCACACCATTACTTTTTCCTTCACTTCTTTCATTTACAGCACTTGTTCCTGTGGTCGTTGTTGATGTTCTTCTTTTTGTTCTTTTCGTTGTTGTCGTTATTGGTCTATCTTCTGTGGTGTCGGGGTGTGTGCTCATCTCTGCACATTGCGTAGATGCGTACAGTCGCCGCACACCGCGTGTGGTGTGGTCAATGAGATCGAGCAGATCACTCGGTAAATCCCGCGCATACGGCGGGTGTGTCATTTTTTTTTTTTATTTTTCCCCCTCTTTAACTAACAGAAGGAAATATCAAAGGGGGAATCAATTCTATTAAGAGAGTAATACTCACACACAGATTGGGGTCTGTTTAAGAGGCACACCGTTAGAGTGGATTACAGAGAGAGAGAGAAATATATATAGAGGGTGTAATGGGAATGAGTATACAGTCTCTTCTTTTTTCCTCTTTTCTTTGTTGTGATTGTTCTCTTTATTTTGTGTTTTTTTTTTTTTTTTTTGTTTCTTGTTTATTGCTCCCTCTCTATGATTTCTTGTTTTTGCTTAATCACTCACTTATTCAATCTGTCTCTGTCCTTCAGTTGCTGTAGCCTACAGAGTATCTATGCGAAGCAATCTATAGATGTACTTCGTAGGGTAAACGAAAAGAAAAGAAAAGAAAGGGTACACAATACATATATATATATATATAGAGAGAGAGAGAGAGAGAGAGAGAGAGAGAGAGAAGACGGTGCGTAAATTGAAAGAAAGGAATAACGGAAATTGTAAAGAAGCAAAGAGAATTAAGCAAATATAACAAAAACCAACACTGACATCATATACAAAACCTCACATAAACCGCCACTTTATTACCATTCTTTTTATTTATTTATTTCTCGTGAAAAAAAGACAATAAAAACAAAATAAAAAGGAATAATAAATGAAAAAAAAAATAGACTATTTACACACACACACACAGAATAAAAAAAAAATAGAGAGAAAAACTACAATTCTATCGCCTCTTCATCCACTAGCTCCATTAGTTGGGACCACTCTGCTGGTGCAAGGTGCTGAACTCTCCATGAATGTAAACAACAGAGTGATCTCTCACCAGTAGGCGTATGTTCTCTCACATGTATTGCCGCTGGTTCTAAATTCACTTCTGTTGTGTCTGCCACGGTATCTACGCAAAGTACATCTTCACCGTCATTCTCTACTGTACGTGTCCACTTATTTAGATCTGTGAAAGTACATTCTACAGGCATAACGGTACCAATACCTTCATTACGAATAGAATTCTCTGTAGTATTAATAGTAGTAGTAGTAGTAGTAGTAGTAGTAGTAGTAGATGTTATGTTATTTTCTCGCATAGAAACAACTCCTCCGTTCACTTTCTGAGGTTTAGAAAAGACATGATGGAAGGGATTAAGACGACGAAGACGTTCCATGCGAATGTGAAGATCATCACTGCATGAAATATTCTCTTCTGAAGACATCACAACAACAGCATTATTATTAGCAGACGTAGAAGACTCACTACATGTCTGTTGACTCTCCTCCCATGAAGAGACATCTTCCCAAACGGCAGATACTATTACTTTACTAGTGGTAAGAGGTTCAGCAACCTTTACCACATCTGCTGTGGGTACAGTTTTATGTCGATAGGCTCCAAGTGGTAAACGAGATCCTTGAAATCCTTTACGAGCAGCGGTGGTAACCCATGGCATGCATTCCACGTACAGTAATGAATAGCACGTAGAATAAAAAAAAAAAAAAAATAAATAAAAAATGAAAAAAGGGACCTTTTTTTTTTCTTTTTATTCTTAACGTCTTTTACAGTTGACTTCACTCTTACTTTTTTTTAAAAAAAAAAAACCTTTTTTGGTTTGCTGTGATCTAAGTTTTTTTTTTTCTTTTTTTTCCTTGTTGCCCCTTTTTAATACGAGAGAGAGAAAAAAGAAAATAATAATAATAATAATAATAATAATAATAATAATAATAATAATAATAATAAATAGTAATAAAATAAAACCATATTACCTTCGATAGAAATTCATCTTATATGTACTGAAATTAAATACACACAAAGATCCTCATGTGGAGAGAGAGAGAGGGAAGTAAGAGAAAAAAGTTTTTTTTTTAAAAGAAAACAACAACTGTGATATTCATCAACTCTCATTCCCCCATCGCATCTCGTGAATTCCCTCCTCCATACGGCACAGAGGCATCAAACCCAAAGTGTAACATGTGACTATTTCGCAGTTCACGATGTCGATTGCGTTTTCTCCGCCGCTGCGATAATGCCTCCGCTGCGTGTTGTTCCCGCAATGTATTCCTTACACTTCGGAGGGCATCCTCATCCGCCTGATGTGGAATCCAAACAGCTTTCGAAGCGGCTGTAATAGTCTCTCTGTCTGGAATAGTAAGATCACGCACCTTAAGCACCATAGGAGAAGGATTTAACCACCAAGATAAGACAGGAATACCCTCAGGAGTATTACTACTACTATTTTTTTTTCTCTGTTCCACTTCTTCCTCTTCTTCTTTTTCCTCATTTATTCCACCATTCCAAAGTGAGGGATCATTAATACAAATATCATCTGGTAAAGGAACTTCTGGCAGTGCCTCTCGCCCTATCATCACCCCAGGCATTGTGGTGTTTTCATCCAAAACTTCTATAGGAAGAAGAGTCTCTTTATCATCCACAAAAAGTGATACTGTTACCTTCCCTCTTGTGTGCGCCCGGATATTTATAAAACTGCGGCGACCACTATTTAAGTTTGATGAAGCCTTTACTCGTACTTCAATAGGCAAAACACCGGAAGAATTACCAGTGGGTTGACCGAATGATACCCGTAAGTTTGGAGCTTTATCAGCAACGGAAGCGTCCATGCCAGATACAGTCAAAGATCTTTCCACAATCACCATAACCCGCTCTCCCACACTAAAACGAGTGGGAATTGTATTCTTTCCACGCATAGGCACTCCTCTACGTGTATAAAGCATAAATTGAGCGACAACACCAATAGGAAGATCCAGCTGACCTGTAGGTCCATCACCACCTAAAATACTTTCGGATTCTTCTTCACGTAAAAACGCGCTCAATGCCTCACCATGACCAGAGGCACCACGTCTTCCTTTAGCTAAACGACTCTCACGAGACTTAACATAATTATCAGGAAAGTAATAAAGCATTCCACGTTGTTGAGCCTCTTTCAAAAGTTTTTCCTGCAGAATAACCTGATCAGTGTGCAAAGCCACACACCCTTCTTCCTCTTGTACAGTAGAAGGGGACTGTAACAATTTTGCAAGTTCCTCAAGTCTTTGTAATTCAGGTCTTCTACAAATAAGGACAAGTTCATCATCCTTTTCAACCCCAAAATTATCAAGAGATTTTTTGGTAGTGTCCGACGACAATGAAGAGCGATAACAAACTTCAATACTCTGATTACTACAAAGTCCTAATTCCATATACTCCACCCAAGCACGAGGAAACCTTTGCAATGAGGCTCCCCGTGGAATTAAGTAGTCCAGCTGAGCCAACGTATACTCAACATTAGCGTGAGTAGAGAGAAACTGAAGAAGTTCGTAATGCTTTGATATCTGTGCATTATTAAGAATATCACCTAACTGACTCATAGTATACTACCACCAGTAAACACACTCCACTTCTTCAACTTCTCAAAATTAAAAAAAAAAAAGGAAACGCTGAAAACAGAAAAAACAAAAACAAAATTATCATCAATAACACCAAAAAAATTCCTTAAATACAAAATATGTAATTTATCAATAAAATCTCAGAAGAAAAAAAAGCCACGTACAAAAACAAAACACAAAATAACATTTGAAACAAGAAATTATATTGTAACTAATGATGACTCTTGGGCACTTAAATTGGGACAGTTCCGCATAAAACAGTGCGTGAAATCCCACTCAACAGACCCTTTTGTGGCATCCATTCATGGAAGTGGGGTAGGGGGAAAGAAGAGAAGGGGAAGGAAGAAAGACAGTTAAACATCACAATAAGTAATAATGGCATGATATTAAAGAGAGGAGATGGTCATTGGGATGTTCTTCTGCATCAATTTGTGTGCACAGTGCACACATCTGTGGAGGACAAGTTCATCCAATATGTAATCATGAAGAAAGGGCAAGAACACTATACAAAAGGGGAATAGAGACCAATAGAGAGGCCTCAAGTTACTGGAAAGACAACTCAACAAACTGAGAAGGGAGTACACTG